ATTAAAGGTCTTACCTATCAAAATGTCAATAAAACCTTCACCTCAATTGTGTTAGGCAGTTTTACCATAATTTTTAAAATGTGGAGAGAAAAAAAATAAATGATTGTTAAATACTGTATTTAATAGACGTGTTCAAAGATAAAGTTGATACAACTTTCAACTTGATACAATAAAGTCTGATACAGAATGCTGAATGCAAAAGAGGAATGATGAAAAACACACACACAACCTCCCCCCCAAAAAAACAAAAAAACTCTACCTTAATAAATCCTTCACAGTCTGGCTCCCAAGTTTCCTCCCTTGCCAAGGACCCACACATAGCAAGCTGTTGCCCCAATAACACAGATCTGGAGGGGACTCTGTATCAGGGTTTCTCAACCTCAGCACAACACACATCATGAACCCAATAATTCTTTGTTTTAGGAGGTTGGGCTATGCACTGAGCATGTTTAGCAATACCCCTGCTGTCTACTCATTGACATGTCAGTAGCATGGCCCCTACCACCCCCAAGTTACAATAGTCAAAAATGTATCCACTTATTGCTATACGCCCCAGTCACCTTCACTTGAGAACAACTTCTCTCTCTCCTGTAAACATTGTTGCCCCTACCTGAAATAATTTCCCCATTCACTGCAGAAAAGTCCTACTCATTTTTCAAGACCCATCTTATATGTTACCTTCAATGTAAAGTTTTCTTGTAGTCAAAGTTAATAATTCCTCATCCTGCTCACTTTCTTATCCCACTCACTTTCTTAGTTACATAAAACAAATGTATGTTCTCTTTCCTCCTCTAGGTAATGAGAACCTCTGTCTTATTTATTCATAGTATTTTTATCGACTTTATTAATAAATGATTATAAGCCTTCTAAAAAAGCACCCATGAGAAAACCCTCCCATTGCCAAGGAGGATTTGGCTCACTGAATGATGTCTCACACTGAGCAATATATAAACCTCCAGCGCTCTCACCTCTCTCTCTGTGCGTGTGCATGTGTATATTTATATATTTATATTTATATAATTATTGTTGACTTTGCTCCTGAGAAATGGAAGTTAAATGATAATACTCAATTTTAGTAACCCAAGGTCCTTGGACTATCCAATTCTCTGATATTTTTATTTAGTCTTTGTTTAGATTTACCTTTGAATCACCCATTAGTCCATACGTTTTTGCCATCAGAAGTTGTTTGAAATTCTTTTGGGAATGTGAACAGGTAAAACTTAAAAGCATAGAAACATAAAACAAAAATTTTATACAATGAACATTGTATTTCAAAATAAAAAAGAAGGATCCACTTACTCCAATCAACACTGAACAATAATTTCCAAACTTATTCTACGTTAAGTCAACATCTCTCCAATTATTTCAAGAGATGTCAGAAAATTTCCAAAGAGAAACTTAGAAAAAAATCTGGCTTAAATTTGCATGTATATATGTATACATTATGCATTTGGATAATATGCATATAAGCCAACACTTTTCTGGGAAAAAGGTGAATGAACAAGGAGCCTGGAAATACCAAACAACAAGAACAACAGCAAAATAATAGAATGTCATACTCCAAAAAGGCCAGAAATCACAGAGATGGAGAAACCTCCAGAATATGCTGAGCCCTGAGGCTTGTTTCCCATGTCAGCACTGAATTATATACATTATTTCTTCAATCTTAGAATTGGTCTAGGTTGCCATAGCTTTAAAAAAGAAAAAATCTCAGCGATGTCAATTTCTAAGTATTAGTCCTAAATTTCTACTGAAATTAATAATTTTAATTCACAGTTTTCCTACAAATAACTCAAGGTAAAAAGACATTTAATTTCATGTCTATGGTCATTTCATAAGACAAGGCAATTAATTAATCAGGAAAGTCGTATCCACCTCTACTGGACTGGAGAAACATCACAGAATAAATATGCAAATCCAATATCCTCATGGCTGACAAGTTTCTATTATTAAACTGCTAACGTGTTTATTTCCCCCACAATAGCTGGATTTCTATCATGAATACGCATTGAGCCCTGCAGTTATTAGCTGTGATGACTAGGTGACAGTGAGGACACTACTTGAGAATTTGCATCTGACAGATCATTGACACACAGTCACAGTTCTTTTTTTTTCTTCTCTTCACTTAAACAGGAATCATGAAATAGGAAAGGAACTGGAGCTATTAGAGATTATTCAGGTTTAATAGCACACATCCTTTTAGCTGGCGGTTAGAACAATACACAATGTGGCAGAGTTAAACAGAGGCATCAATTATGCTCTCAGACCTGTTAATATTTTTGACAATATTTAAATAGCACATCCCTTCAGGGCATGGCTTTTTTGCCCTCTCAGTTACACACCTGTCAAGTGTTTAATTTGCCAAAGGGAAACAGTTTGATTTCTAAGGGCAGTCTTAATACTGAAGAAGCAAATTGGAAAAATTACGCATTATTGAATAGAAGTAATGAGAAGGATTCGAGGGGGAAAAATGGTCAGCTTAATTCAACATGGCATGTCAGCATCTGTCATTAATGCAACAATATGATCACGTTCTCCAATATGCTGCATTTACCTCAGGCTTTTCAATTATTCACTCCTTTCACTTTCTAAAATGTAGGAGAATGATGGTAAAGTTGGAGGACTCAAATTTGTATTACCAATACTAAAAAAGATGGAGACACTAACTTGCACCCATTGTGCATATAAAATTACATATCTGAAAACACAACTCAGGCAAAAGAATATAAATAAAAGCTAGCCACTGGTCAGATTGGTATAGCTACTAGTTTAAAAGCACAAAACAAAGTTCATTCCTAGGTTCATTAATTAATTATTAAATTATAAATATTAACAAATTAACAGGTAGTAAACTACATAGAATATCTAATTCTAACATGGTAAGTCTATAATATTTATGTTTAAACTTTAAAACAGAAAATAATACAAGGTTTTGAAATGTAGTCTAGTCATACAAGAAAAACACGGTTCAAAAACAAAGGAAACTGAGTAAGAATGAAGACTAAAGTGAAGAGTCACAGAAACTATGAGAGATATCGATGGTTTTCACCAAAATTGAACTCCTGACCTCTAGGGGCCGAGTTTCTATCCTCAGGAAAAAAAAAGAAGAAGACGACGATGAGAGACAGGCTGCAGAATCACAAGAGGGGAAAGACTCTGCCTTGGGAGCCAAGAAAACCGAGTTCCAGTTCTGGCTCTGCCCTTATTATAAACAAGTCACTCAAACTCACTAAGTAGTTGCAATAAACAGGATGTGAGCCAGCTGGTTTTCTTGGTCCCTTTCAGTATTTGAAGAGGTGACCAACTAGCCAAAAGTCCAAAGACATGGGAGACATGCCTAGAGAATGCCCAAACCTCACAATGTACCAAGTCTTGAAATATATCAACATCTATCATTAATACTGTACTTGGTCACAGACTACCTGGCTTGATAAAATTATGCTCAAGGGTTTCCAAGGAGATTTCAGCTGAATCACATGGGACCCAAAGTTTTAGAGCCCATATCCTACTTCTATTTGGAAATGGTAAAACAAGGTCAACAACCAGTAAACCTATGTCTCCCCTGCTTTCAGGGCTAGAAGGGGTATTTCCAGTTATCTCTTTAGTGGTATTTCCTAACACACTAGCACTTTTTGTTTCAACTTTTTCTCTCATTCTAATCATATTTTCACATAATATAATAAGGGGAGAAGACATCTATTCAACTTCTTCACTCTCTCTGAAAAACCAGATAATCTTCCACATCATAATTACACTTATATTCAAAACACTGATCTCTCCAAACTCTTGTCAATTCATTCTGAAAATGAGTACCTAAAACCAATCTTTTCAATAAGTTGCAAAAAAAAAAAAAAACCCCAAACACAACTACATATAACAAAAACAACTTTTTCTTAATTCATGATCACAATTTTTAAAATCATTAAGTAAAAATTCACTACAGAAAAATATTTTTAAAAATTCTTCTTTATTTTTTGCTACCAAAATATCTAGATTAAGAAGTTATGTGCATTAAACAAATTCCTTCTCTATTGCTACTATTTGTTCTTTTTGCATTTGGCACATTTTTTTTAAATTGGAGCTATTCTTTCACTGAATTATGAAACTAGTCTTCAAATTCATTTTTAACCTTTTAAGGCAGAATATTTGTTAGCAAGTCATCCATAGTGAGTAAATTAATGCTAAAAACATTAGAATGAGAACTAACTTAGATTGAAGGCATAAATGAGATTGTCTTCACGCCTTGTAAGGGTAACAACCATTTTAAAAAACATTTTTTTAAAAACCTGAGAAATGTGATTAAATTAAGTTAGTTCAAAGAGCATCTAACTTGAGTGTTTGTTCTGTCATTGCAATGTTTCAATTTTAATATAAATGCTAGGAAATTTTAATGCTCTTAATTTTTACAGGAAAAAAAACAGTGTTACATTTAGAAGTTCTAATGTTTATCACCATCTGATGCTGTCATTGGAAGCAATTGCTACTTACACTCTTTTAAGAAGTGAGAATTACAATTTCTCTAACTGATGACAATGTAATTATTTCTTTTACTGTCAAAATAGAGGTGATTTCCCTTCCTCACACACATGATTACACATGCAGATCCAGGCTTATCTGAAATTTTATAAGCATGCTGAATGTCTGAATCTGAATGCACAAGATCACGTGAACAATGAGCCTTAGTGGGGATGTAAACCAAGCCTACAGCCATCTACCCTAAACTTATTTTTATCATCCCCATATCCTGTAGGGACTCACACTTCAGCATCCACACAGCTTTCAACACAATGTCATATCATCCACAATATACAGCAACAACCATTACAAAAATAACTGGGGGGGGGGGAGTCACAGTGAATCTGAATGTCTCATTTAGAGGTTTAAATGACTTCATTAGCTATTCATTAACACATACAAAAATCAGGCTTTCAGAAAAACACAAGACTCCACAAGATCTATGCCATGCCATGAACACCGGCTTTGGGAGAATCGTGTCCTACCTGCTCTTTCAGCTGCTGTACGGAAGTCTGAAGGTTCAGAATCTGACCGAAGAGCGGGCTCTGCAAGACTGACTTGAGAAGGTTCAGCTTGTCTTCATTGGCTACATCTCCACGTTCTCGCAGCTTGGCTTGCAAGCGCTCTGCTGCCTGCAGGGCTCGATTTTTGTCTAAACCAAAGAGCAGCACTGGTCATTAACAGGATTCAAAAGACACACATCAAACCCCACTTACAGAACAGAAATCCTAAAACTATTCCTTTCGAGAGCATAAAATTGACTCAGAGAAAAAAGGATTGTAACATGTCCCTATAAATAGGTCCCTCAGACCCTGGAGTCTCTGGTGAGAGAGTCTGTCTGAAAGCAGAGAACTGGTTATAGTACACGCCACATGCAAGTAAGTAATTGTTGCTCCAACTCAGATGGAGTGTATCTGAATTCCAACGCCAGCTGTCAACTCTTTTATATAAAAACTATTGAAAACCAAACACTTCGTGATCTTGTAAATGCCGATATTTTCACTTTTCAAAAAATTTTATTTACATTTAAGAAAAATTAGAAATATAACTCATTAATAAGTGGATGTGGATGATGTCACTGATGAGTCATAACATCCAAAATACAATTTCATGTATTAAGGAACAAACATTCTATACTTGAGAATTTACTTGAAAATATATTACAACAATGTATAACCCTTCAAAAACACTTCTTGTTAATACTTTAAATGTCTTTCCCCAAAATTAAATAGCATATCTCTATATGCATCAAACCAAAATAATTCAAATATTTATTGATCACCTTATATATCAGGCATAAAAGTTGCAAAAGTATTCTGAGTAAGTGTATCCCTAATAATCCTAGCATCTTACATGTGTGTTTCCACCAGATGGTGATTTTCTATGACAAATCACAGTTAAAAACATCTCCCTAAAACTCTCTCTCACTCTCTCACAAGTGAACCCAAATTCGTTTTAAAGGAATGAAGACCATTCAAATATATGTTCTAACAGGTTCATCATGGTAATAAGGCCATCTATTAATATTCATTTGCCATAATATAGTAATCAAAGAGTGGGAATTATCACCACAGACACTTTTTATAGAACCAAATGTGGGATGACATAGAAATGGGGAAATTAAGGCATGAATTAATGTTGACCATGAGTTCACACGCATACACAAATTTAAACAAACAGAATTTACTCATCTGCACAATTTTTATGTATTATTTATTTATTTATTTATTTTATTTAGAGCATGAATGGGGAGGGGGAAAGGGAAAGAGAGAGAATCTTAAGCAGGCTCCAAGCCCAGCATGGAGCTCAATGTGGGGCTCAATCTCACGACCCTGAGAGCATGACCTGAGCAGAAATCAAGAGTTGAATTCTTAGCCAACTGAGCTATCGAGGAGCCCCATCAAAAGCACAATTTTAAAAGTGAATAATGATAACGATATGAGAATTTTATTCTGGGTCTTATTTCCCATGGTATGTCAGAATACAAATCTAGTATTAATTTTTCTTGGAAGGTGTACACATAAGTAATAACTTACAAAATAAAGACTGGAAAGTGACAGCTTCAATAATTCTCTATTTTCCCTTTGCTGTCCACTGTCTTATGAGGAACTCTGTTTTGTGGACTAGTAGTAGTCTTTGCGGCATGTGACTTTAGTATAAAATAGGGGATGAAGGTAACACACACCCATGTATTTTATCACTCACATTTTACCAGGAAGAAAAGCCAGAGTAATGATCCCCACTATCACAAAAACAGCTCCTTTCCCTTTTCCTTCCACCTACTCTCATCCTGCTTCCCAAAGCATGCAGGCATCAAGGCACCAGCCACAATCATCAAGGCACCAAGGTGAAATCCAGATACGTTCCAACAGTCATGCCCAAAACTTCCAGGGAAAACACGAGGTATTCGGCCATCAGGAGAGGGATGGGTGTACTGATATGCCTGGAACTAGTTCTATAAACCAGCTCCTCTAAAACTAAAGAGCAAGGGAAAAAGATTAACATGTGAATTTGGGTATTTCAACCTACATTATCTCATGTAGAAATCAAACTGCCGTAAATCATCACTGAAGTTTGCCAGCCTAAATGTTTATTATTGTTATGGCTCATCATCAACTTAAAAGCAAAGTTGAGTAGTTTCAACTGCCACAAATAAAGAAGGCAATGAGCTTCTTTCAGTATTAAAAATACTGTTAAGCTTTCTGATGCTGTCCACAAACACCCATTAACCAGAAGTGGGTCCATAAATTAGAACAAGGTTTACATTAAACTTCATTAAAACTCATAATTGGTAGAACACTTCATATGTCTTTATCTTGGGCTTACAAATGGTTTGTTTTTAGTGCTCGCTTCGGCAGCACATATACAAATGGTTTGTTTTTATAACACTTCAGATTAAATCATCCAAATATAGAAACACATTTCCCTGCTATAATGCTAATGGATAAAAACTTCTAAAAACTAAGCTACTAGACAAAATCCTGCTATGTAGAAAAACTATTTCAAAGATCCGAATGGAAAAAGTTTTGATTCTTAGAAAAATAAGAAGGAATAGGTCTTACCTATAGTTTCTAACATTTTTTTCCAAAGTTCAGTGTTCTTCACTACAATGATTTTAAACAGCAACTAAAACAGAACTCTGGAAAGAAAAGAAATAAAATGGAATGGTTATGTTTTATCACAACATTAAAACTATATACTCTAAAAAGTACTTGATGCTACCATAATTCCTTTGACCATTAAAATCTTGTTAACTTAAAATAGTTTTTTTATACGCAAAAAAAGAGGAATCATTTTAGGACTTACTCAAAATTATCTTATATTTGCAAGTAATATTTGCATAGTAAGGTAAAAGGCACACGATCTGTTTTAAATAAGATGGCAGACATATCCAAAATACTTCTTTTAAGAATTTCTCAACACAGACCACTATAATCTCAGATTCACGTACAGATTCTCACCCACAGAGTAAGGAACTTACTTGACTCTGCATGAGAAATTCAGTGGGCAAAAAATTAAAACGTAAAAAGCAGAAGATGTGATCCTGCCCTTGACTGCTCACAGTCCTAACTGGGGAGACCATACACACATAGCAATTAGAAATGAACTATGACACTCATGATATTATTTCCCTGTGGGTCACATACTGCATGAGTGTCATAGTTTTCATGGATGAAAAACTGAATAAAAGCATAATGTTAAATGAAGGAAGGGTTTTCAAAATACCCTCCTGACTATAATATTCTCTTCTCCCTCATTCAAAATAAACCTTCTCAACTTCTTCAACTCACACGGACTCATCTTTCTCTGACAATACTTATCCAGACTCTTTAAAGTACCAGCTACAGATTTCCAATGACAGTGTCCAAATCACTAACCATACCTAATCTTTGCTGTCCAACAATTTATATATCCTCTCCCTAGTCAGACCCACCCTCTGCCTTGCAGAAAAACCTCAGTCATTGCTTCAACGGAGGGAAAAAGGTCACACCCAATTTCCTCACTTTTGAAAGACAAAATAGGATTTGTCTGAGAAGGAACAGTTGCCTTTGTTGTCTCTTTAACAGAAAATGCATCTGGGACAAAAGGAAATCCGTGATGTATGTGAGCAGATGCATTGACTATCCATCAATGCCTGTGATTAGCTCTGTGTAATAACAGAGAACAGTTCTTATTGACTTTCCTAATCCTGATTTAGAATACACTATTTAAAACATCAACTCCATCTGAAATAGTCAAACAACTCTACTACTGGCACTTGTTTTATAAAATGCCCTCGTGTCAAGAAAAGGGCACCAGCTCTAACTTGGAATTGAAACCTAAATAACAGCGTAGGTATGGGCAAGGGGCCTATCATCTGAATCTTAGTTTCCTAGAAAACGTACTCATTGAGTATATTGCAATAAATGAGAAAAAGTATATGAATTTCCAGATCGTAGTATAACTCACACTGTAAAATATATATCCAGGATTAACACTGAGCCCATACAGATGTGCATTTCAATGTCAGGCATTGCATGGTTTCATGGGGAAAAATACAGGGAGATTTTAAAATAAACTAGTCATATTTTTATTCTTATTGACAAGGACACTTCATAAGATAGTATACTATTAGGTCCCCCTCAAAAAATTACTAACTTCTGACAGTTAACAAATAAAGTAAAGATACCCCACTAAAAGGAAGGTCTCTAACTGATATATGCCCAGCAGGAAGAATGCTAGCAATGGAAGAACATAACTTAGGGAGTCTGATCACCTGAAGAAACATTTCAGCTGGCCCCTTTGCTAGCTGCAATGCCCTGTGAAGTCACTGTCCGTCTCTCTTAAACTAGAAAACTCTAACCACAAATGAATTACACTCAAAGTTTTAGAACGGTAAAACTATACACATCAGTGCTTGCTAGGCACAATAAAGTCAGCTCTATCTTCTTCCCCCTTTGAAAAATTAACTTGGAAAGACAAGCAATACTCATGACCTGGAGGGGGAGGTAGCCTATGGATTTAGAGACCCACTGATTTATGAGGAATCTGCAGAGAAAGTACAGAGTAAGCAGTTCCCCACTGAGAAAAACACTGTCATCCCAAAGTTCACCTACAAGTCGGTTATGTGGAAAGAGAATTACTTTTCTTTTCCCTGGAGAAACTCTTATCATAAAGGTTTTTTTTTTTTTTTTTTTTTTTTTTTTAGGGAAAAAAACTCCATTCAACTGTGAGTCAGACATTAATTAGCTCCCACATGAGAGCTCCATTCCTCTGGATTTCAGAGATTAAAAAAAAATGAGTTTCACAGTTTCTCTTCTCTGCTCTGATGTCCGTTAAAATAAATACATGTGGCTTTTTTGAGGTTTTCCAGATTTTACAATTAGTAGGCATGACAAAGAGACAAGAGGTTAAAAAAAACAACTGTTCCTTTCCATGCCCTATACCCCATCCCAAGGATTCAGCTCTAAGTATAAAGATACTCATTTGTAACCAAAGATGTTTTGATATGGAGAGATGAGTCCACATGCATCAAACTGCATGAATTCTCCTTCTCACCCCACCATCAACCTTCCCTCTCCACCCCCCTCAACACCGTGTGGAAACAGAAGGGTACCTGGGTGACAACAGTGGGTCATGGCTATTGGGTAAGATGTGAAGAAAATCTAATACGTGTCTAAGAAATGCCAAATTCTCAGGGCTCTTCTGGACAATTCAGGCTAGCAGTGAAGATGGTGAGTCAGAAGGGTGGTAAAGAGAGGAAATGAGATGTGGACAAGTAGCAACACTAATGCTGGGGCAGAAGCAAAGGTGACAACAGCAAACATACAGCCACCACATCCTGGGCACCACTCAAAACATATTATCCAACTAAGGCCTTTAATATTCACTTTACAAACAAGGAAACTGAGGCAATGAAAGAGTACGCAACTTGCCCAAGGTCATACCACCAGTACATGATGGAGCCAGATGTGGACCAGGCAGTTTGGCTCCAGAGCCAATTAACAATTTAACTTCTACAATATACTGCCTCTCAACAGGAGGAAGACTCACCTTACCATTCTTCCTCTTTCCAAGTTCAAAACTGTGTTGACTTTGCCCTACACAAGGAGAAACCAGAGGAAGAAACAGACCCAACGTGCACGAAGTCTGAAATGGACTGGTGTAGACAGCTTAACACAACCAACAATCCATACAAAGGTATGAACAACTCAAAACTAAGTATTTTAGAAATCATGGGTAGGTACATCAAAGAAAGATCAGTAATAGTCACCATTTATATAATGTTCATATATGTTTAAATAAATCACCTTTGAAACCCAAGATTTTAAGAAAAATCTCCAAGAAAAATAAGCCTCCTTATATTAATATTCAAAGTACATTAAAACACATGCCTGTTATATTTCAAGGTGCTAAATTCCTCAACACAATGGAAATAGGCATATTCAAATAGACTTAAAAATAGAGCTACTGTACACGAGCCCGTGTGGTTACTGCCGTGTACTCCTGCCTGTTGATGCATCACTATGTGGGTACAGCTGAAGCTGTTACAGCAGTGGGGACAGTCACAACTACAGGACGCACACCACGAGTGGCTCAGTGACTTCAGTGCCGATGAAGCACTAAGTGCTGGACAAGGGCAGGCTGCACACATGACATCCCAGCAGCAGGGACCCTGACCCTCACGCTCTCCACGTGCTCCTCCAGAGAAGACAACAGAGGAAGGGAGAGACTCGGGTCTTACTCAAGGTCATATAGCTCGTAAGCAGAGCTTAGAGTTGAATCCAACGCTGCCTGAATTCAAAGCCCACACTCAGTCATGAGTGTGGCACACACCATGCTTTCCATATTGTACTGCAAAAATCATATGGTGGCCATACACTGTTGAATGAAAAAAAAAGGACTGTGTGAGACAATGTATTAAGTTGTTAGTATCTGTATAAAAGGGAAATATTTGCATAAATAAAATTAATATGTACATGTTTATAAAAGCACAGACTGTTTCTGCAAGCTTTCCAAAGACAGTAATAGTAGGACGTAGGGGGCTATGGGACACTAAGAGAAACTTATTTTGCACTGCATTTCTTTTGGGTTTTTTAATTTTTTTTTTTAAAGATTTTATTTATTTGACAGAGAGAGAGAGAGCACAAGGAGGGGGAGCAGCAAACAGAGGGAGAGGGAGAAGCAGGGTCCTCGTTGAGCGGGAAGCCCGATGTAGGGCTTGATCCCAGGACCCTGAGCCGAAGGCAGACGCTTAATCAACTGAGCCACCCAGGCACCCCGTCTTTTGGGTTTTTTAAATTTTATATCAATATAACTTTGCCACATTTAGCAAATAAAAATACAGTATACAGAAAAATTCAAATAAATTTGTATTTTGGATAAATGAATTAATTTTTTAGTATGTGCAATACTTGGGACATTCTTATAACTAAACACTAATTTGTTGGTTATCTAAATTTCAAATTTAACCAGGCATCCGTTATTTCATATGGCAACCCTACTTATGTATATATTACCTTAGAGGAAAAAATCAAATTTTAAAAATCATTTTTAATTTAAGGCCTTTATGCTTCTTGTAGAACATTAATGTAACAACAAAGTTGCCAAGTCCTTTACAAAGCTCTAAAGATTTTATTTTTTTTATTTTTAAAGATTTTATTTATTTATTTGACAGAGAGAGAGAGACAGCAAGAGAGGGAACACAAGCAGGCAGAGTGGGAGAGGGAGAAGCAGGCCTCCCGCCAAGCAGGGAACCCGATGTGGGGCTTGATTCCAGGACCCTGGGATCATGACCTGAGCGGAAGGCAGACGCTTAACGGCTGAGCCACCCAGGCGCCCCAAAACTCTAAAGATTTTAGCTGTGACCCAATTATTGTCCAACAACTAGTTGATAATTCCAGTTTCAGAAGGGGATAAGAATCAAGTCAAATTTGGTTTTATTTAGAAACGGACTAATTGACTAATCGTTGTACTTTTCAACAAGTTGTACTGGTAATGTGTGGGCACAGATTGTAAGTAGTAAAGAATCAGTGCTTCAAACATAAAACAGATCATTCTGTCCAATGCAGATTATATGGCAACTAAGAAGTGAAAATATGTTTTCTGCTAAAAATAACCCAGAAAGAGAAACTGTCCCAAATGCATAAAATTTTCTAG